TTTGAAATAGCCGCTATAATGCAGAGCTGCAGTGCAGAAGAGGGTGTGACACCAGCCTCTGGCTTTCGTAGAGTGCTCATTTCTAGGTAATATATATTTCTGAGAAAAAAACTAGCAAATTTACATATAAGGTCTGTAATTAGACCTTCATCTTCACTAGAGTAATTTCCAGTGCCCTGTAAGACCAGACTGGTTTTAGAAAGACCCAGCAGCCCCATCCCTACTGGTGCTGCATCCATGGGCCAGCTCCTGTTGGGCTGTGCCTGTGCTGCTCCGGGTGCCTTGCAGCAGTGATGGGATGGGACCAGGTTGAACCATGTCTGACAGCTGTCCCCAGGGAGCTGGCAGCACCGCCACCTCTGTGCCACGCTGGCTTGCAGCGGCAGTAATGGCTCCGGAGAACTCATGTCTTAGATACAGGCTCATGAGAAGGTAAGACATGCCTTCTCACCCAGTGATCTCTGCGTTTGCACCACACCATTTCTTAATTTAGTTTAGCTTTTTTTTCCATTTGAAAAGGTGTCTGTTAAAGGGAGCCATTGCTCTGAACATGGGTGTGCAGCTAAAACCTCGCTCCCAGGCCGCAGGCACCCAAATCGAGTTGTGGTGGACCACAATGACCTGGGACTGCTCAGCCCCAGAAGATGCAGTTTTGGGTTTTCCTGAGGGCTAGCAGGATACTACACAAGTGCAGAGGTGGCACTGGTGTGTGACCTGCTGTAGGTAATGGCTCTGTGTGTCACCAAAATCCGGGATAAAAATAACTAATTGACACCACTGTGATACAGAAAAGCAGACATTTCTTTATTGACGGCCGGACGTGTAGGGGAGTGCTCTCACCGACAACACGTGCCAGGCACCAGAATCATACACCTTATATAGAACTTACACATATTCATTAAGTCTTCATACATAAGCACACAACTTCCAAGAAATCATTAACATATTCTCCTCCTACTTCCGATTCTGCGCAGTAGAGGTTAGAAATGTCTAGAAATGGGTCTGGGGTGTAATGTGAGTAGGTGGTCCATGAGTCGGTGGTCGCGATCTCCCCCTGCTGGAATTACCTTTTGCTTAAGGACACAGTTTTCTTGGCAGGTACCTGTAAGCTGTTACGGTTACTTCCCTCAGTTCCCATTAATCCTGGACCTTGAAAACTACTTGCGTTCTTCTAGTCCTATGTATGTATTATAAATCAGTTTACAAATTACCTCGTGTTATGTTACCTAGGTTCTAACCGTTCTCATTAAACAATTATGACCAATCCCTTCAGCCTTGGTACAGGGCTGTACAGGGGATTTTAGAGTAGCAGTCAGTTGCTAGATTCAAAATACAATAAATGTAAAATGATTTTTACTAAAATATCTCTTAATTCTATACTTATATTAAAATCAAACACAATTTAATTTCAGTTGTTAATAAAATCAGTAACATTTTCCCCCTTTGAAAGTGTTGAAAATCATTTCAATACTTTCACGCTTTTATTCATTTTCATCTTTGAAGCCAAAGTTTGTCTTGCCAGGTGATGGTGGTGGCGGGCTGTAGTCTGGTGGCATAGTGGGTACTTCTCTCATAATTCTACAATGTATTGCAAGCCTATTAGTAAACTGTCTTTTAAGACAGGCATACACCAACATAATCATCAAAAGGACAATTAGTAGCAAAAATAGAGTTTTGATTAGGGATTTAAGCCAAGAGTTTAAATTCCATCCTAATCCACTAAAAATTTTTCTTAGCCAATCTTCTGACATATCTTCTCAAATTGTTTCTGTTTCTTTTTCGATTTTCCTAACAGATCTAAGTCATGTTTGACATCCTGTGTAACATTTGTGATATGAATGCCGCAATGATCTAATCTGTCTTTGAGATATTCACACACTCCATGTTCCTTTAACAGAAGCATATCTAATGCCATCCAGTTTTGAAGTGTCATTCGGGAAGTTGCCTGTAATTGCATGTTTAATTCTTTAAATCCTTTTCTTGTAACACTGGCCACTTTTTCTACTTGTCCTGTTAAGTGATAAAGCCATTCTCTATTCCTATAGGATTGGATTCAAATAGACTCTAAAGCCCAGCCAATTTTTACTCCTGTTGATGGTTCATTCCAGGTGTCATCATCTATTTCAGACATTTTAATTAGTTGTAATTTTAAGTTTCCCAGGGAGCACTTGAATGGCGATTTCTTCCAAATTGGACACAATGTTGGCAGGCCTAAAGTAATTTGTTGGTGCCATCACTTAATGCCCAAACTAAATGTCCTGGACTTTGAATGGTAGATTTCTTACAACTAGAAAAGTATCCTCTTCTGGTTATAAAGATGCTAGTCGTTGTGAGGTTATTATAAAAACCTCGACAATAACAACCAAACTTCAAAGCAGCTGCCAAATGAGGAATTCTTTGAATTATTTAGTCTGCATTGCTGCAATCATACACCTTTTCACATTTCTACCATGGTGCTACATGTTCCTTTTCTTGTCGGGCAGTGCCTTTATCTACTATCGAGGGAAGGATTGCAAACACTCCATTAATCCAGGTACCGTCCCAAGTGAAACACCAAGGGGTTCTGGCCATGTACTGAAATTGTGATTCACTGCTCTTA